ATTAAAAAAAAAAAAGAAAGAAAGAAAACAGGAGCAGATCCTGAGAGGACTTTGGCTTTTACTCTAAGGAGATGGGAAGCTGTTGGAGGCTTCTAGGCAGAAGAGGGACGTGATCTGACTGGTGTATTAAAGGAGCCCTCGGCTGCTGTGCTGAGAATAGACCAGAGGGCAAGGACAGAGGCAGGAGGCAGTCATGGGGCTGCTGCAAATCCAGACACTTGGTGGCGGGGCTCAGACCAGGTGGCAGCAGTGGAGGGACTGAGAAGTGTTGGAGTCTGGGAATACTGTGAAGAATTTGCTGGAGGGTAGCATGGGGGATGCAAAGAAAAGCGAGACATCAAGAATGACTCCTCAGTTTTGAGCCTGAGCCATGGGAAGGATGGAGATGCCCTTGGCTGTGCTGGGAAGATGAAGCTTTGGGGGGCGGAAGATCAGGGACTCACGCTGGACATGCACACGGCTTGGAGTGGCCCTCCGAGAAGGGCTGTCCAACGAGCAAGTGAGAAGAGAGTTGTTGGGCAGCATGGTCCCTCCAGACCCCAGACTTAGACCTGGCCTCCACGAGGTCTTAGCTTGTTCTGGCCCGCTGTGAGGTTCACCGGCTCTCAGCCTCCAAATTCGGGTCAAATCATTAAGCATTCAGGATCGCCCACCATGTTGCCTGACCAGGGCTGGGAGTTGCAGGAAGGAGCAAGGACCAACTAAATCCTGTCTTTCAGGTGTTTGATGTCTGAATCAAGATGGAATAAGAAATGTCCCTTAATAAAGTTAGTGACAATAACAGCCACTCTGTACTAATCATATGCTGAGTGTCAAGCAGTAGAGCAATGGAATGAAGATTGTGAAGCCAGTTCCCTGTGTTCAAATCCCAGCTCAGCCACTTATGAGCTGTGTGACTTTGGGCAAATTGCTTAACCTCTCTGTGCCTCTTTTTTCCATTTATAAAATGAGGATAGCATTAGTATCCACCTCCTATGGTTGTTGTGAGATTAGATGAGCTGATATTTGTGTGACCCTAGTGCCTGGCATGTGGGAAGTGCTACGCAAGTGTTCAATAGGTACACTCTGCTGAGTGTTCCATGTGTGTCGTGCTAATCTAAACAACAGCCTTGTGAGCTGTGTTACTTACCTCATTTTTTTCTTTAGATTCATTGTTATTAGGAATCATCTATGAGTTTATACAACCATCACCCCTTTCTCGTTATTATACTCCTCTGATCAAATAAAGCATTTAACAAGGATTTACTACTGATAACTTTCTGTCTGTAAGTTTTGTTGTTTTTCTTTTTACAAGGTTTTTCCTAAAGATGGACTCATTGTCAGGGATTCATGGGCCTCAGTCTCACTCGTTCTTGTTCATATAAAAGTGTGAACACACACGTGGATGAAAGAGGTAAGTTTCTCTACGAGGCTTATTATGAAGGAGAAGGAGAAGAAGGAGGAGAAGGAGAGGAGGAGGAGGAGAAGGGGGAGGAGAAGGAGGGGGGAACGAAGAAGAAAGGAGAAAGAAGGAAGCCAGCCCCATGGCGTAGTGGTTATAGTTTGGTGCACTCCGCTCCGGCAGCCAGGGTTTGCAAGTTTGGATCCCGGGCGTGGACCTACACCACTCGTCAGCCATGTTGTGGTGGTGACCCACATACAAAATAGAGGAAGATTGGCACAGACGTTAGCTCAGGGCCAGTCTTCCTCAGCAAAAAAAAAAAAGAAGAAGAAGAAGAGTCCCTCACGTCTTTCTATTTCTCTAAAGCAGTGGTTCTCAATTGGGGATGATTTTGTTCCCCAGGGGACATCTGACAACGTCTGCATACAGACTCTCACAATTTGGGAGTGGGGGTGCTCCTGGCTTCTAGTGGGTAGAGGCCAGGGATGCTGCTGAATGCCCTACCATACACAGGACAGCCCCCCACAACAAAGAATTATCCAGCCCCAAATGTCCGTGGAGCAAAGCTGAGACCCCCTCCTCTAAAGCATCAGAGGGCACCAAGGCCTGGGGGGAGGTGACGGATGTCACACACTCAAGGTTGCTAGTAAATAGCAAACTCAGGATTCAGACTCTGGTCCAACGGCTCCCAATCCAGGAGGGAGACAGACCAGAATGTTGCTTTAGAGCCTGTTTGACCAGGTCCCAAGCTGTGTGACATGAAGCATGACGGTTCATAGCGCAGAGCCTCAGTCTTCTCATCTATAATGTGGGTCTGACGGTACTGATCTCACGGGATTATTGTGAGGATCATGTGCGCTGTGCTAAGCCCTTAGGTTGTAAGGATCCCTTAGGTAGTAAGGGCTTAGCACAGTGCCTCACACGTATTATGTCCTAAATAAGGGGTTGTGCTTTTATTTTCCAAAAAGCGTTGGGAGGGTCCTGAGAAGGGATGATGACTTGAAGAATCTGGGAGAGCTTCTCAGGGGAGGCGGTGTTTGAGCTTGGGTTTGAAAGTTGGCCGTGATTTGGACAGGTAGGCAGGGGAAGGCTGCTCAGGTGGTGGGCTGGGTCCGAGCAAAGATAAGAGGGGAGCAGCAGGGAGTGGGCCTAGGGAACCTGGAGTCGCCAGGTTTGGCTGGACGGATGGTGCACCTGAGTGAGGGTGAAAGGAGCACCCCGTGGCCTTGACGCACCCCCCCCAAACACATCCTCCATCAGTCCCGCAAACCTGCTTACAGAGGCACACGGTCCCCCGGCCCCCGGGGTCCGGCTGGCAGACCAGGCCCTGGCTGGAGTCACAGACGTGCCGATGGTCGCAGGGCTCCCCCAGCCGCCGCGCACACACCCGGCAGCAGTTGCAGCCGTCCAGCACCAGGGGCACCCCAGGGGGGCACCGGGGTGGTGGCCAGGGACAGGCACACGGTGTGGGGCACAGCTGGGCACACACCTGCAGAGACAGAGACCTCACTCAGCCCCGGTCGTTCAAGGCAGGCGGGAGCCTACACAACCGGCCACCTCTCTGCCAGGCTGGGCAGTGGAGGGTCCACACCTTGGCCCCAGAGTCACACAGACCTGGCCTTGAACCCTGGCAGTCGCGTGGCACTCTCCACGAGGCGGCACGGCATTGTGGTCATGAGCAAGGACTCTGGACTAGAGCCCCCGTTCTAACTCTGCTCTTTATTAGCCTTGGACAAGTTACTTAAGCTCTCTGAACCTCAGTTTCCTCATCTGTAAAGAGGGGGCAATACTGGGATCTAAGTCAGAGGATTGTTTGAGGAGCACATGAAATGATGCGTGTTAAAGCCTTAGCACGCCGGACAGCCTGTAGTGGATGCTTGGTGCATTTAGGATGATGATCTTCATTGTGAATCACAATGGAGGGCTTAGCCCTGCCCTCCAGGAGCTTCCAGAGAAGCCAAAGCAACAAGATGAGGGATGAAAACGACAGGGCACTAGGCATTTTCCAGCCAGTGGACTGTGGATATTTATCTTGAGGGCTGAGTAAATCAAACAGCATCATGGATATTTTTGATCTTTGGAACAATCCAGAATATCCAGAATCCAATTCTGGATGAGCATCAAATCAGCCAGGAAACTTGATGAAATCCCGACCCCCAGGCCTCCTCTGGGATTTACCAGATCAGAACTTCCAGGGGCGCCCTGGAATCTGTATATTTAACAGGCTGTCCAGGGGCTTCTGATGCTCATCAAGGTTTCTGGCACCTCCGCTCCAGTCTAACCCCCTCCCCTCGCCCTGTACAGATGGGGAAACTGAGCTCTGGGGAGAGGAAGGGACTTGCCAAAAGTCACAGTGTGTTAGCTGCAGAGCTGGGTGCCTGCCTGCCCATTCAGGACCCAGGGTGGGGGTTAGACTCTTCCCTTAATGAGGAAAAACCTGAGCCAAGGCCCCACCCCCCGGGACAGAGTCAAGGTATCAACCCAAGTGTCCTGACTGCCCCTCCCCACTCAGGGCAGAGAGACAACCAAACCACAGACTAGATGCCATGGGCTCCCCACATGTCCATTTGAAGGTGGGGACTAAGATGTTCCCAGTGGCCCCATCCATGGGGGACCAATCTTTAGTCTAGTAGGATCTTTGGAGGACTGGAGGGTTTTATCTAGAGGATGAAAGACTTGCAGTTTAGGAATATGAAATTAATAACCTCATATCTCCTGTGTGGCCCCAAAGCAGGCCATCTCTGCCTTTGTCCCCACCTTGTCCCACCCCACGAGTACCCCCTAGTCCTGCAAAGCTGCCTTCAGTGGCCTGCAGCTCCCACCCTGGCCACCGGGGACTGCCCCAAACTGGCAGACCAGCCTCTGGTGGGGGAGCAGAGGAGCGTTCACAGGCTCCCATCTAAGACCCCACTCGGTGACAGAGGCAAGTGGGGAGCTGTGTGCCTGGAGCCTCACGAGGGAGCCAGTTCCCATCTCTGCAGGAATTTCGAGCAGGAGACCGGGTGATACTGAAGAGATTCTAGAGAAGATGGCCTGGCCTTGCCCCTCTAAGTGTGGTCTGGACCTCAACAAGAGCATCACCTGGAAGCTTGTTAGAAATGAAGCATCTTGGGCCCTTGTTTATGAATCTACATCTGCATTTTAACAAATCCAGAAGCGATTCTCACGGAATTGATCTGAGAAGCAATCGGCTGGACTTCTGGGATCCCTTCCAAACTAGGGGGTCAGCTCCCTAGATTAGTGGCAAGTGGGGGACTCTGGCCAGAACTGGCTCTTGGGTCTGGTCCCTCCCACCTGAAAGCTGGGATGCCAGGGCATAGGCCTCTTGCTCTGCACCTGGGCTTCCTCTACGGGCTCTCTACCGGGCAAGCGTGGTGGGGGCTGGGTCTGCAGGCCCTGACACCCGGGAGAGGCCGCCACTGTGCACAATCGTGGCGAACAGTTACCGCGGGCACACCGTGTGCTGAGTGCTCCACTGTGTTATCGAACTTAACCCTCCCCTGTGAGGTACCATCATTATGCCCATTTTAAAGATGAGGAAACTGAAGCTCAAAGCAATGTAGTCACATTGCCAGTAAGAAGTCTAGCCAGGATCAGAATTCAGGTTCATATGAATCCAAGGCCCAGGCTCTTAATTGCCATGCCCACCTCTTATCCTCTGGGGGCTCTGATGCCATCTTAGCCTCTGCCTCAATTTACCCATTTGTTCAAGAGGGATAATGACAAGTCAGGGAGGGTGTTTCAGCATAGCCAAGGAGAGACATGCCCCCTCTGGTCTCCCTCTGTCTCCACACCCCTCCTAACCACCCCATCACTCTGTTCAAGTTGCCCCATCATGCACTCGATTTCCCCAGACCCTTGCTGTGGTCACCAGGGGGCGGGGCTCCGTGGTAAGAGCCCTGGACATGGAATCTTCCGGGCAAGAGTTGAAATCCAGGTTCTACCACTGACTTGCTGTGTGACTTTGGACACTTCACTTAACTGCTCTGTTGGGAGGGAGCCGTTTCCTCCACAGTATGATGATGTGGAGACCACCTATCTTAGGGTCATGACAGGGGTTAAATGATGTCACGGCCAGATCTCAGTCAATGTGACTTTGCTTGTTTCCAAGTCTCTGCCACCTGCCCCCGTCCACAGCCCTGAGCCCAGGACCTCACAGCCTGCCTGGAGGACTCCGAATTCTCGCTCTGAGGATTGCTGTGGCCTCCGGTGTTCATGATGACAGTCCCTGTGTTCTGTGCAGGACACTGCTGGCTCCCTGGGACCCAGGAGGGATGGAGGGGTGAGGACAGTGGGTCTAGGATGGCTTCATTTTGGTCTTTCGTTTAATCCTGGGCCCAGAGGCCCAAGTCCCCTGCTCCAACTACCCAAGCCACCCGCCCTGGCATGATGTCCTGCCCATCCCCTTCGGGAGAACAAACAGCAGGAATGGGGTGCCGGCAGGGTCCTCAGCCCTTCCTCAGTCACTGCCTGGGACCCAGGAGAGAGAAGCTCCTGTCTGCACTACTCAGAGGAGCATGAAAACACAGTCGGGAGGCCGATCCCCCTGAGGGGATGACAGGGCTCAGCACCTGTGGCCTTGGTCCAGGTTGGGGGTGGAGAGGCACAGACAGAAGTCCCCCCACACACACACCCAGACCTATCCTGGGCCCCACCTCCTCTGTTGCTCTGATGTTTCTTTGCTGTGCAGCTTTGGGCAAGCTGCTTACCCCCTCTGAGACTTGCTTGATTGTAAACAGGGGCTAATAATTCCTTATGGGGTTGTTGCACATGTTAGGCAAGGTAGATGTTCCACAAGCCGTTTGAAAAATGGCCGTAAGAAAAGGTCATTATTCCATGGAGATGTCTCCCTGTCCCCCTCCAGCCAGGTCAGCAGGTCACTCACTGCCTGAGGGCCCAACAGCATTAATGCCCTTGCACTAAGAACTTTCCAATCAGTTAGACACCAACATCCGTTCACATCTTGGCTCACAGGCAAAGCAGGTCATGTCTTGAGTCTCCCCATTTGTAATGAGGATGCCCACTTCTGCTTTGCAGAGGGGCTGTGGGGATTGGTAATTATCATAAAAGTCCTCTTTTGAACATTTGCCAGGTTCCAGGTCCTGTGCTAAGCACCTTAGCTGAATTATCACAAATGGTCTTCACGAAGGCCTCATGAACATTGTGCCCATTCAACCAAGCAAGTAGCTGAGGCTCAGAGAAGAGAAGGGACTTGCCTGAGGTCACACAGCAGAGCCGGCCAGAAGCAGCCGTCTGGGTACCAGGGAGGGAAGCTGGGCTGTACCCGACGTGGGATCCTGCAAGATTTCTTCCAGGGCGTCCTTGGCAGTGACTTCACACCTCCCCCACCACACCAAGGAAGTCAGCAGTAGGTCTCAGGGCCCAGGGCCCCCTTACCTTTGAGAAGAGGCAGAGGAGGGAGAAGGCCAGGAGGTGGGTCTGTAGTGTGCCTCTCATGTCACTGCGTCCCCCACGGAGCCAGCTATGAGACCAGGAGGCAGGACTTGTAAGTCTTTATGTTCCGCGGCTGTGAGGTCACTCCCAGGCAAACACAAACACACACACACACACACACACACACACACACACACACACACTCTCAGGCTGGCCTTTCCTTGCTCCTCTTCCCATCCTCATGCTCCTAGTGATGAGCCCATTTACCTGAAGATGAGACCATGGAGACCACCAAGAGGGTGCCTGCCAGTGTGTGTGTGTGTGTGTGTGTGTGTGTGTGTGTGTGTGCGTGCGAAAGCCAAAGCCAATGCCAGTGCCAAGAGCCTGTGACAGGCTGGCGAGGGCCTCTCTAGCTCCTCCCAGCCCAAGAGGGCCTTACCAAGCCGCTGCTGCAGCCCTGCCCCAGACCCCTGTCCGACCCTAGGGGGCTGTGGGTCCAGAAGGTGCTCAGCAGACGCCCCCTTAGCAGGGCTGACCCAAGTCCTCCTACCCTGGGACTCTGGGCAGCTTCGGCCGGGCCTGCGGTTTCTGGCAGGAAGATTGGCGGCCACCCAGAGGTGGGTGTGACCCACAGCAAAACATCCCTGGGCGGCCCGTTTGCTTTTGGCAACAAGGGGCCTCCCCACGGCCTGCTTCCCAGGCTCTGGAAGGTGGCCCGCGGTGGATGAGCCCATGAGGGCTGGACCTATTGTGTGCCGGCACTTCCTGGGCACTGCCAGAGGATCTGGATGAACCAAATCCATTTCGTTTAATTCAACCAACTCCGTGCCCCCTCTGCGGGGGCTGGAGACACAACACTGACCTCAGGACAAAGTCCAGAGGGGGAGATGACAGTGCGAAAACAGGTGAAATTCCAGGGCATACCTAGCAGAGGTCCTTGTTCAGACCAGAGCGTGAGGGACAGCTTTCTGAAGGAGCTTCCTTTACAGAGAGCCAAGGAAAGAGGGGGTTAGAGAGAGCAGAATATTCCAGGTAGAGGGAACAGCACGTATAAATGCCTAGAGGTGGGAGAGAACATGATAGTGTTGCCTGCTCTAGGAGCCAAAGGTGCCTGGTGTGACTGGAGCTGACTGGAGGTGGGAGCGGTGTTGAACACAGGGGAGTAAGACACACAAATTCATCCCATCAGTGTTTGGGGGGCATCTACAATGTTCCAGCCACTGGGGGTTGGGGGATGTAAGGACATGGGCTTTCACTGTAGAATTTGGCAAAGAGAATAATCGAGGTGATGTCAAGGGGTGGCTGGGGAAGGCTTTGGCCTCCATCATCTCCACCAGTTCCCCCAGTGATGGGGCTAGATGGTAGAAGTTTCCAGAATGGGTAGTTGGTGAGGAAGAAGAGTGACTTGATATAGGGATGAGACTGAGGGATTTTTCAGCAGGGGGAATTTCAGTCCCTCCCCTTCTGGTTTCAGTCCCAGGGGAAGGAGTTGATGGAGACGGAGGTTGAAGATGAAAATGTGGGATTTGATCATCTGTGGTTGGAGGAAGTGGGCAGGGTGGGAGTGGGGCTGTCCACAGACTTGGAGGGAAGGAGCTACAGTGTTATTTATTTGGAAATGCTTACGTTTCAGTCAGAGGCATGCCTAGGGTATTTGATACCCAGAGTGGATCATTTTCAAACACCCCTCCTCCTTCATATAACAAAATTATTTTCAGTAATAATCATGAGATGAAACAAATATATTTCATGTATGAACTAAAATTGGCACTTACCAAACAAAAACACTACCCTTTGCAGCTCACACTGTTTCACTGTTTTACATTTTAAACAAATCCTATCGAAACTCCGAGTAGTCACATAGAATGACAAAATTGCAATACCTGTATCTTCACCTTCACCAACGCTCTACATTCGTTGTTTCTTTCAACCTACTGTTGAGATGCAGAAATACGTGATACCACAGAGTTGGAGACAGAAACAGCACTTGAAGCAAGTGCGAAAGATTCCAAACTGTTAGGAACTCACTCTCCGGACGAACATGCCTTCCTGCGTCCATGTGCGCTGGGGGCAACTGTATCCCCAGAAAGTCTCCAAATTAACTTCCATGTAGAAGATGTTTATTAAAGGATAAGAAACTAAAATGTGCTGTTTGAAGCTTACATATCTATTATTTAAATTCAACAGTTATCGCAACAATTGTTTAGAACTTAGACCAATAAAAGATATTTTCGGGATGGAGTATTTTACGACTGATGTTATTTAGATTTGCCAATGCGTGGTGATAACAAAAAGCAGACTTTTTGTCTCATCAATTTTATTTTATCTTTAAATTCTCTATGGACAACGTGTCCTTTTATTGCCTGTACCCAGGGAAGACCACTCTCATGTCCTGTCCGTGTTAGAACCACTGGTTTTAATAACGATGAAAGTGGTTATGTGTTGAGAACCCAGAGGAAGCCAGCCCTGTGCTAACTACTTTTTATAAAAAGTAGTGTTGCTCATTCCAACATCCTTTCTCCTCTCCTCACGGTCCATACCTCAATGAGAAAGGTGATGTTCAGAGAGGTTAAGTAACTTGCCTAAGGTCACAGAGCTAGAAAACAGAGCCAGGTTTCCAGCACAGGTCCATATGACTCCAAAACCTATGTCGTGGTTTTTGTTGTTGTTTATTTTTGCTACAGCTTATAGAGCTCTCTGGGGCATATATTTTTTAAATTGAGGGGTAACATATATACAGAGCAGTGCTTAAGGTGCACCAGTATTAATTCTACATCTCAACAACTCTTCACATATGTACACACCCATGTAACCCCCACCCAGATCAAGATACATTTCCAGAAGGTTCCTCACGCCCCTTCCAAGACTATACCCTGTGTCCCCCAGGTACTCACTATTCTGATCTCTGTCACCATTGGTCAGTTTTTCCTGGGAGGAACAGCTTTGAACCACTTCTTCTCTGAGGCGAGAAGGAAGACAGGAGCAAGTACGAAGCGTGAGGAGGAGTTGGAGAGAGACACAACGATCACAGCAAAATCCGGGACAGAGGAGGAGACCCTCCACTCACGGTGAGGAGGTGGGGCGGGCTGTGCATCCGAGGGGAGTGAAGAAGGCCCGGGCCAGCACTGCCCGGGGAGACGACAGGAGATGAGTGGGAGTGTCGCCACCTGCCTGGAGGGGCCCCTCTGAGTCAGAGCATGGATTTTTGCTTGGAGCTTGTTCTCTCTAATAACAGAGGACAGGAGAGTGTGGAGAGTGGGAGGCCCTGGGCCCTGGCCAGCTCAGGAGGCACGTGGGCTGGCATCAAGGGTGACGATGATGAAAACGTGAGGGATGAACCTTCCATACACAGTTCAAAGTGTTGAAAGACTGTGGCAGGAGCTGCCGCATTGCTGACTGGTTACGTGTGGTTCAGGCCCCCAAGTTTGGCACTAGAGGGAGGTGACAGTCCAGGGAACCCATGAATCTTTTGACTGCTGCTGTAGCCCCCCAAATAAGACCCCAGAATGAGCACGGCTGCCCTTTGCATTACCGGAAGGAAACATACATCAAAAGGTCCCGGCCTCAAATCCTGCCTCCTCCACCAACTCACAGCACTGGGACTTGGGCCCATAAGAGGGGCACCTAGGGAGCAAATTTAAGGAGACTTCACTCTCAGGAGCCGACCTCACACTTGCACGACCAGGAGAGTGAGTGCCTTCTAAGCATGAGGCACCTAGGACACCAAAAGACGTCATGGTAAGAACTCAATAAATGTTAGTTGACTGACTAAATGACAATTCCCTATCCCAATGTATTAGTTGGGGGTACATTAGGCTGAGGTCACAAATAAAGCCCCAAATCTCGGTGGCTTAATCAACGAAGGTTTATTTTGGCTCTCAAACAGTCCAATGAAGTTACACAATCTTCCCCATCTTGGAGCTGCATCCTCTGGCTCTTCCCTGCTCAGATGTGTGCTCTGAGGCATCAGCATCACCCAGCTGCTTGTTTGAAATGAAGACTCTCAGGACCCACTTCAGAATCAGAATCTGCATTTGAGTAAGCCTCCCAGGGGGTTTGTATGCACATTACAGTTTGTGAAACACCGGTCTAGACCAGTGGTCTCCAAGGTCACCTTGGAGAAGAGGGGTGGAGAAGGCACACTGGCCCTTCACCGCCTCACACCAGAAGTGATGCTCATCACTTCTGCTCATCTTCTATTGGCCAGAACTAGTCACATGGCCCCAACTTAACTGCAAGGGAGGCTGGGAAATGTGACCTTTGTGTGTACCCATGAAGAGAGAGAAGAGTGAGGGACACATGACATATTCTTTGCCGCAAGTATCTTGGGATCTGGGACACATACTTTTGCTTCTCTGACCCTCAGTTTCTCTGTCCCTTTTTTTTTTTTTTTTTTGAGGTGACCTTTCAGACCTGGGCCAGGCCTAACATTTTAGGAGGTAGGAAATGCATCTGAAAAGTGAAACTCGTGAAACGTGTCCAGAAAATGGAAGCCATGGATGAGTATCCGCAGTTGAAGGATAAAGCCAGTTTTAGCTGTTCAGTTTGTCAGCTCCCCCCATGCATTCCTCCTTCACGTTCATCGTACATCAACACCGTGCCACGCCCTGTGCAGGATGCTAAGATGGGGTGAATAAGATGCCCGGTGCTGGGGAGCTCACCGTTGTTACACTAGATAGTGGGGACAAAGAAACCCAAAACAGACCATGACCCAAGCTGGGCTGGGAGCGAGCAGGGTCAGTGCTCCCATGGCTGGACATACCAGCGTGAGGGGGACACCTGTACCGTGGGGGGATCCAGAATCAGTCAGATGAAAATCCCAACTCTGCCACTTATGGGCTTCGTGGCTCTGTGTAAGTTCCCTCACCTCTCCGGGGCTCAGTTTCCTCTTTTGGAAATTGGGATCTGTGGCAGAACCTGAGCAACGCCCATTCAATATCCTTTCTCTCCTCCAGCCTCCGCAACCAAACCCTGTTTTTGTTTGGGGTAGTAATGCACCCAGCTTTGCAGCGAGGCGTGGCTACGTGACCAGGTTCCAGCAATGAGGTATATAAGCAGAAGTGTTGTGTGCAAATTCTGGGAAGGCTCCTTAAAAGGAAGGGCATCCTTTTTGTCCTACCACCACCAATCCTCTCTTCCTCCTGATTTAATCAGGCGTGATGGTGAAGCTTGACAGCCATCTTAGACCATGAGGGTACCCTGAGGATGGACCTCATATGCAGAGGAGGGAAGAGGAGAAATAGATAAGGAATCTGGATCCCTGATG